TGATGGCTCTGAAAAAGTAGCGGTTTCTTTATTTGTTTATTTGTCAAAAATACGGTAGGGGAAAATGTATAAAAGAGAAGGTATTGATGTGTTGTCGTTACCAACGTACGACCTGAGTTTCAAGCCCGAGGAAATGCGGAGGGGAGGAGAGGAAAGGGAAGAAAGGAGGGAGACAGGAGATCCTGACCATAGGCAACCCCAACAAGGTTCCTGTGTATGGTTCATGATAAGGCAATGTATGGGAGTTATGATCAACGGATATATAACAATAAAATGTTTCATTAAACAATTTKCTTCAAAACTTGCTGCAGTCGTTGCTTGTACCTTGTTCAGTCTTCTGGCGAAGTTCAAATGTAATTTGAGGCCGTTTAGGGGGGGATGTTTGGAATCCAAATTCAGGCAGCTTGTAGCTATGTATTTGGAAGCCAGAAAACTTTTTTTTATAGAAGATTGGATACCTTGGATCGGCTAAGTTAATCTTATTAAGGATTCAAAAGATATTTCAACTGCAGTTCATCTAGTATGTCAAAACAGTGCAGTTCAACCACAGGTAGCCCAGGCTTACCGTTAGTGTTGAATAACTGAATCGATCGAKMGASAGACAGACAGACAAAGRTTATATAGGTATCATATGGGTATTTTGAATCCTCATTTTTAYACTTTAATATAATTAAAATCAAATAAAACTCCCACCGTGTGTTKTTRATATATTGAACAGYCCCATGGYTTAATTACAGCTCATTTCGTTCGGGTTAAGATGACGCTTCCCCACCACACACTAAAGAGGAGAAGGWAGGAAACGACTCAGAAAAAACGGCCGTCGAACGGTCGAGCTCTTTGCCAAATATTTTGCCAAAAAATGCTTYCAGTTGAAACTTTCTTTTGCWGGACTTTGGAGAGATAACTAAGCCACGCTATCACCTTAACAGAATTAACAAAACCATCATTCTTGAGAAGCAATCCCCAAATGAGTATCCGGCTTCTTTGGACGTCATTTTCATCCGTGACTCGAATGTTTTGCCACTCGAAAACCGTTTTTTTTCTCGAGAGAGCCTGGACAGAGGAAAATCGGAAACTCTCGAGGGTAGCCTCGGGTGATATACACAAACCAAAACATGACACTCAACTACCCCCACACGTCAAATTGGATTCAAACCTATTGTATTTTTTTCGGCCAATCAAAACCTGAGCAACCCGTGAAAGCGTATTCAATTYTTTTTTTAATGTATTCAAACACCGGGAAAACCACTAGACTTTAATTGTTTTTAATTTGTATTTGTCTTGAAATGAATTCCATCCGTCGAAGACAACAACAATGTATTTCCACTGCCTTCGAAAAAAAAAAAACGACACCAGATCATGTGTCATGTTTTGGTTTGTGTATATCACCCGAGGCTACCCTCGAGAGTCACGGATGAAAAAGCCGGATTGTGATACTAATTTGGGGATTGCTTCTCAAGAATAATGGTTTTGTTAATTCTGTTAAGGTGATAGCGTAGCTTAGTTATCTCTCCAAAGTCCTGAAAAAGAAAGTTTCAACTGAAAGCATTTTTCGGCAAAATATTTGGCAAAGAGTTCGACCGTTCTACGGCCGTTTTTYCTGAGTCGTTTCCTACCTTCTCCTCTTTAGTGTGTGGTGGGGAAGCGTCATCTTAACCCGAACGAAATGAGCTGTAATTAAACCATGGGRCTGTTCWATATATCAAAAACACACGGTGGGAGTTTTATTTGATTTTAATTATATTAAAGCGTAAAAATGAGGATTCAAAATACCCATATGATACCTATATAATCTTTGTCTGTCTGTCTGTCTGTCT